CTCTCTGAAATCAATAAATATATATTTTAAAAAAGAAGTGAGGGGGGATGCATACTGACAGTCCATCCCTGCGATGTCTTGGGATGATAGCAAAGGGATGGGATGGTTGCATTGATGTCCTCTTCATCAGGCTTGCATGGTTCCTTGAAAGCCCTCTCAGGTTCCTCCATTGGACTACAAGTAGAGAACTCCTCCCAGTAGCAGCCAACCTATGAGAGTCTCAATAAGAGGAAATAAAGATCACCTTGTCTGACCAAAAGTGTTCTCCCAAGAGTGGGGGCTGTGGAAAACAATTTGAGCTTCTAGGATAGGTGGTTCTACACAGGATCCCCATCTCAGGTGGAAATTGCACTCATGCTGAGGTCATCATGTCTCCATCTGTTAGCCTGGGACAGCTCCCATCTAACCAAGGCCCTCACTTACCTGCTACCCCTGAGTGAGGACTGATGACACTCCTGCCTGACATCTATTCTTGAGGTGTGATAGAGAGGACCCTTTTTTGCTGTTGTTTGTTTTGTGAATCTTCATTGGAGGATAGTTTTTCCATTGATTTTTTAGAGAGTGGAAGGAGGGAGGGAAAGAGAGAGCGACAGAGAGAGAAGAGCAAAACAGTTTGGTTGCCTCCTGCATGAACTAAACTGGGCAAGGGATCCACCTTCCACCTGGAATTGACTCCAGGCCTCGCCTGGGCTGGCCGACCATCTAAGCCAGAGGCACACTGGTTAAGGCAGGGAGGATTCCTTGTGGCCCCACTGGCACAGGGTGGCACATCCCCACAGTCCTCAATGGTCTGTCCCTGAAACCTGGCACAACACGAAATCCTCCCTCCACTGACCTGCGGTTGCCCCTTTGACCGGATCTGTCACCTCCCCGAGATGGCCTGGGAGGAAGTGAGTGCAACTCAACATGGCGACGAGCCCTAGCCTCCCAGGGGTGACTCCCACAGCCTCCCTCAGTGTAACAGCCCTGAACCCTGGTAGAGACGGGGCCCTCTTTGTGCCCTCCTCCATTACCCCAAGGCCCTGGCCTCTCTGAGACACCACCTGAGGAGTAAGGGTCACGGCGGCCTGCCCGCTCTGCTCCCGGCAGCCTTGGCTGAGTTTGGCGGGGTGGCCGCTCGAGAGGAGGCTGGGTCGCTCTTTATCTATTACCTTGGCGGGACGGTCCCTAGAGCTGAGTACAGGGGCTGCTGCCCTGCGCGGCCCTTTCACCGAGAGAGGGCTGCTCTGAAGCACCCGGCCTCCATCTTGAATCCCTTTGGGGCCCAGGGGTCCTCCGTCAGTAGGGTCGGGCCTACTCCCTCGCAAGGCCTTCCCCCAACACTTTCCAGGACGCAGTCTCAGGGCTGTGCTGGGGCCTGTCGGGGCTCACAGCAGGGGAGGGGTGGGGGGCCTGCCTTTGTTTTGGGGTGTGTGGCTTCCGCGGTTCCCACCTTGACACCAGGCCAGTCCTTCGAAGCCGTCCTCAGCCAACCTCTAGGCAGGAGTAATGGCTGGAAGGTCCTCAACGCCCAAGTAGAAGTTGGTGGGTCCTTTCCCGCGGGGCTGTCCAGGGCGCGCCTGATGCCGGATGCCTGAAGGATTTGGGTCCGTGGGCCCCAGGTCCTCACTCAGGATCCCCACTTTTATGTCTGCAGATCTTGGATGCCTCCCTCTACTGACACAAGTGGGTCTGGCGCCCACAAAGTCTGCCCTCCCCTGAGACCCAGTGAGGCAGGCAGTGAGGACGCCCTTCCTCTGAAGCGGGGGGGCCTAGGTCTCCCAGGCGGGAAGGGGGCGGTGCTGTGGGAGCCTCCCTTTGAGAGAGACATGCTCTCGCTTAGAACTGCGTGTTCTCGCGGGAGCCTCCCCTTGAGAGAGACATGCTCTCGCTTAGCACTGCGTGTTCTCGCGGGAGCCTCCCTTTGAGAGAGACATGCTCTCGCTTAGCACTGCATGTTCTCGCGTGAGGCTGTTGTGTGATGTACAAGCTTCCTGTCTCTGAACACCTGGCCTTGGGTCCCTCCCCGAGAATACACGGCTGGAATGCGTGGATTCCTGCTCTTCTGTGTTTTCCAGGGCTAAGCTCTGTGCTGGACTCTCTGGCCCCTTCAAGTTTGGGGGTGCCCCCACACCACTCAGGACCTTCACATAGTTGCGTTCTTCTTAAAGTCACATTCCCTCCCTCTGCAAAATGGAAAACGTCCCTGTTAGTCAGAGGCCCTGACGTCCCTGAGGCCTCCCAGCCTCTAATCAGCCTGACATGCCCGCCAGGGGCTCTGCTGGGAGGACAGCAGAGATTTTGTGAGACCTCCTCTACGCTGTGGGGCTACCCTTAGTCCACACCAGGGCCCTCACTTTGAGAGATGGCCCGTCCGGTCACTCCGCCCTCCGCTTTCTGACACTGCTCCTCTTACACCACAATGCCTCTGGCCGAGAATTCCCGGTTGGAGTCAGCGTTTACCACGTGATCATGGCCCTTCCGGGCCTCCAGGAAGAGCCAACAGGGACGCGTCTCCAGGACCTTACTGTCCTGGCTGAGTCCTGCTGCTGCCCCTCACTGGCAGCCTTCACCATGTCTGTCAGCGCCTCGGACTCCTACTGCACGGAGCTCACCCTCCTGGGTTTTTGCTTGGCCCCTATATTGTGGCGTGATTGGTTCCGCAGCCCTCGTTCACGGGAGTCCTCGTCTTGGCTTCTGTCTCTTGGTTATAGGCTTCCTGGGAATTGTCACCTCCCTGCAAACCCTTGAGCAATTTCCCTGTTGCAAATCTTGCAGAAAATGGATCCCGTTTTGTGACTGATGTAAGACTAGGCAACGGTTGTCAGGGGAAAGAAAGCTGATACATTCTTTCTCTTCAGCAGCCAGACTTAGGGAACTTGCAAAGGATTCACTTTCTATGTAGGGGGATAGAGCCAGATGTTTGTGAGTCCTGACTGGGCTTCTGAGGGCATCTGGTTTCACACAGGTCAATGATCATATTGTCGCTCGCTATGATCTCATCGCTTTTACTCAAGTCTTACTCATTTCTGATTTTCATTTTTCTGGTTATGTCACTCAATCAACTCTTTTGATCACTTGAGATACATTTTGGAGCAGTAGACAAAAGTGGCTTAGCTGACTCGTGGTCAGCTGCAAGGAGCGCGCCCCTGTGAGCTTTGGACAAATCCAGACCAGGGGTTCTGGTCCCAGCTCTGTCACTTACTAGCTGTGTGAACTCAGGTACATTAGCGAACTCTGTGAGCCTCCGGTTCTGCATTTATGAAGGGGCTTTGCTAAGCCCTGTCTTGTAGGGCTGGTGGATTGGGGTGGAATGCATTGAGATTTTTCTCAATGTCTGATATGTTTCTGATTAGGATGATTTCAACCCTTCAATATACCACTCACCTTAAAGCCTTTTTAAAAAAATATCCATGAGATATTAGAGAATATGTGTCCATCTAGGACATGGAACTCCAAATCTAGCCAATATCTATTTACAAAGAAACTCTAACTAAATCCCCCTCCAACCCATTAAATCATTACATCTCTCTTAGAGCTTGCCAAATTACAACAACAACAATAACCAAAGATGTTGAATGTCATTTTAATAGAATGGGTTCTGACTCCCTAACCCACACAAAGAGCAACAGCCCAATGGTTGCCAAGTTTCCAGTCATGGATTATTGTGTTCTTTTCCTCAGAAACGCCCTGAAGATGATGGGCATCAAACACCCACTCTGTGCACTTTGCTCACCTGCACTGGGACAGGAGCACGGGATGCATCCCAACGCTGTCCCAGGTGGAGATCCTCTCGGGGTTACTCATCATTCCAAAGTAACTGTAACAGTGATCTTCCATTCCAGGTGCAAGTCTCTCAGCTCTGAGACCCACAGTCTGAGGGTGTGGTCCGTGCCCACCATGCTGTGACCTTAAGATTCTCTCCCACTGCCCAACTTTCACTTTCCCCAAGTCTCTAACTGCCTCCCTCGCCTCACAGATTCTACACTAGACTCCTCATCTGGAGCCTCCCGCCCCACTTCTGACCCCTTAATTTCACTGGTCTGTGTACATTAGGAGTATCTCACCACCTACATTATAAGAAAGCTGCTCTTAGACTCTAAAATTCTATGGGCAGCGCAGGTAGGGTCTAGTTTTCTTAGCATCCCCAGTACTAGCCAAGAGCATTCCAAGAGCAGATGCTAAGTTAATATTTGGACATAGAAAGATCCAGTGTACAGGAAGCCAAACTTATTAGGATTTCATTTCTCCTACATTCTTGAAGAAGCTAAGCCAATCCAGGTACATACACTGCAATTTTACAAAGATACTAAAACCAACAATTGGCTATATTTTCCATTGTTTTTCACATCTCATGATCACACAGACTTTACTCTGGGGTAATTTCCTTTTACACAAAAATCCATATTCCAATATCATGCTATCTATCTTGTTCCAAATGACAAGAAATGACCCAAGGATTTTCAATTTGTTCCATAACAGCAAAATTCCCAATTTTTCTACCCAATAAACTCCAATAAATGTGTGATCCATGTCACTCATGCACTTAGGTTCTGGAGCAAAATAAAAGTCTACGTGAATGGAACAATCTTTAAGATAGAAAAAGGAAAATGTTAAATCTCCAATTTCCCCATGTTGTACAGGCACACAAACATGTTACTAATATGCACTGTGTTCTCAGGAGCCCCACCTTAGCTCCTCAAGTTTGGCTGCTCTCTTTAAGCAGAAAGTGAAGACTCTGCCTCAGATCTCACTAGGTATGTGAGGAGTTTCAGGACATGCCCTGGACTGCAAATTGGCCAGGGCAGCAATAGGGGAGCCCTGCTGCAGCTCTGCCTCAGGCCCTCTCTTTCTTACCTCGCAAAGCCTCCTGATGATGAAATTGGAAGGCACTGGCCATGGTATCATAGACCTTAGCCAAACCCCCTCACATCATATGTACTCATAGGAAAGCACCCTTTATCCATGTACAAAGGTCATACTCATTCTTTCTTATAGCTATGCTAGAGGTCCGATGCACGAAATTCATGCAAGAGTAGGCCTTCCTTCCCTGTCTCCTGGCATGGCTTCTCTCTGACACCTGGGACCCAGGCTTCCCTGGCAGCCCCAGCTTCATCTGGAAGGTGGTCCGGAAGATCATCCAGTCTAATTATCATATTATGCTTTTATTATTATAGACCAGTGGCCCAGTGCATGAAATATGTGCACATTAAAAGAGAATTGAGAATAT